AATAGTACTTGAATTGATGATAAAGTACAAAAGTAACTAATCTTTATACAACTTTCTTGAAGATAGTTAAGCAATGCTTGTTGCGAATAGTATTTGAATTGGTGATAAAAAGCAAAAGTAACTAATTTCAATACAAATCTCTTGAAGTTAGTTAAGAATAGTACTTGAATTGGTGATAAAATACAAGAGCAACTAATCTTTATACAACTTTCTTGAAGATAGTAACTAATCTTATTACAACTCTATAATAGAAGCAATATTGTTGCGAATAGTACTTCAATAGAGTTGTAATAAGATTAGTTACTATCTTCAAGAAAGTTGTATAAAGATTAGTTACTTTTGTACTTTATCACCAATTCAAGTACTATTAGCAACAAACATTGCTTAACTATCTTCAAGAGAGTTGTAATAAATTTAGTTACTCTTGTATGTTTTGACCAATTAAATTACTTAAATTAAATTACAATTCCAGTACAATTTGGAACAAGCATTACTTAACTATTTCATTTGTAGAATTTACTTGTAATTGATGTAAATATAAGTTTTAGATTTCATTATTAATTTTTAGTTCCAATACAAACAAAATAAATGTGAAAGTTAGAAATGTTGGTAAGTTATACTGGATTTCTGCAATTATTAGAAATTACGTTATTTACATTCTTTGTAAAATAAAAAAGAATTGTAAATCATAAGGAATTTTTAAGATTTTGTATCTTTTACCAATTTATAAAATATTTACATAATTTTATATTTACATTTCCTTGAAATTTTTCTAATTATGTTCTTTTCTCTCTCTTTAAAGTAATTAGTAGTGAGAGAATAAGAAAAGTGGACAAAACTTTTACTATTTCTGTCTACTAATTAATTTTTTGTATCACTTTTCTTAAAAAATAATAGTTTGTAAAAATTGAAGTATTTGAAGTTATGGAAATTGTAGTAACTATAGCAACAGTTGACAAGTTTGAAACAGTTGAAGAATTTTGTAAAAATTGAATTCTTTGAAGTTATGGAAATTGTAGAAACTATAGATACAGTTGAAAAGTTTGAAACAGATGAAGAATTGTGTAAAGATTGAAGTATTTGAAGTTATGGAAATTGTGGAAACTATAGCAACAGTTGAAAAGTTTGAAACAGTTGAAGAATTGTGTAAAAATTGAAGTATTTGAAGTTATAGAAATTGTGAAAACTGTAGCAACAGTTGAAAAGTTGTATGGATACGGCAGATATAATAGGATTAGTTGAAACAGTTGAACAGTTTAAAATAGTTGAATTTGTATAAATCACAGTATATTTGATAGAAACAATTGAAATAGTTCAAACAGTTGAAAGTTGAAGCAGTTGCATTTGTAGAAAAAAAAATAGATACAAAGGAACAGTGGAAACAATTGAAAGAGTAGAAATAGTTGAAATATTGGTGACGGCAGAACAAGTATATATCAAAAGGAATCTGTAGGACATACCGAGATAGGCACGAATGCCACGCAAATGTTTTTAGCTGGAAATGCACTTGACAACAGATTACCAACTCAAGGACTGAAACGTTTTTTTTTTTTTTTTAAGAAAACTATTAATAAAGGATACGTTTCAATACAACTTAATTGTTTTACAAGATTAATTCGCATTGCAATTCAATTGTTTCAGTGCAAACGCATTACAAATATCGTTTCAGTAAACATTACCAAATAATAAAAAAAAAGTCAATTCTCCGCAAAGTTTTTCTTAACTTTCTTGGCTATATACTTCAACTTATTCAACGCTGCCTATGCTCGAGATGAACGTGAAAAATATGAAAGGTGTTTTTTTTTTGAAATCTTAAAATTTCGGAAACGTTTCACCGCTCGCGAAGAGACGTGACTGTCAGTCAAATGGAAGCGATCGGTTTCATCGTGAAAGTTTCCTCTTCCTCGTGAATCGAACAAAGCAAAAAGTCTGTGTGATGTTCACGAAAAGCGCATCGAATCTTCCACGGAAATGTTGAATGAATTGGATGTGTCAATGGAAACGATGCACGTTACGTAAATACGCCGACTGTAAATAAGAGCAGCAGGCTATTGCGACGCAAAACGAAAACAAAACAAGAAACAAAACAAAAAATCGCGCATTTTGCAGAAAATTTATTCGGAATCAAAACAAGTGCGCAAACACGCGCGCAACTCGCATTTCGCGAATTATAATTCTATTTGATAACCCGGAAACCGTGAACAAAAAAAAAGAATGAAAAGAAACATCACGTGTTGCATAACAGGAACATCCGTGATTTTTCTAATGAATATGTAAACGAGGCGATATCCTTGCACAAGTCTTTGGAATGTCTAAGTGTCGAACTGCTTCATACGTTGCCTATCTGAGAGTTCCTTAAGGGCGGCCCGGTATTGCTCGGTTTTGCTATCCGGAGGATAAAGTTCCCGCTTCTTCTGCACTACCCACTTCTCGAAGTATTGAGGCTGATTGAAGTAGTGGAAGAGGCACACCGGGAACGCCATGTACAACACCATCTTGCCCACCTCCAACTGCCAATTACCCATCTTTCAACTGACACTTGTCACTTTTGACATTTAATTTTTTTCCGCTATCATTTGCTTCCTTGATCGCTTTTGACGTTAAAATTGTCTCCGCGGTTTCCTTGATTTATTATTGCAATTCCTTTTTTGAACAATTTCGAGTTTCCTTTCTCCTGCGCGGAAACAAAGAGGCCGAAGACCTTTATATACATACAACTATATATATATATATAAAAATAAATATGTACGTAAAAGGACAATGGTTTTCCAATGGCCGCAAGAAAAAAAAAAAAAAAGGACAAGTGAGTACATTCTATAAGACCATAAAGTCGAGGTATTATTTCTGAGCTGAGCTGGTAGGGGATTATTAAAAGCAAGAGAGCCAAGATGAGAAGAGGAGGTGATGTCAAGGAAAAGGAACGTTCCGTTGCGAAGCCGAACGCATTTGATGTAGTCGCCTCGAGAATTTTCTCAACGGATAATAATGAAATCGCGAACTGAATTAGTCCGATTCCATTGCAGTCGAATACGAATGAAGAGTTTAGTTTTACCACTTCGAACTTTCGAAATTCATAGCTGAAAACATACACTATAAAAAATGATAATAATACATTTCTTAAGTTGACTAAAACTCACTTAAGTAACTTAAATTCATATGTTTTTCGCTCACTTAGAAAAGCAAATATGTAATTTATTTGTGAACAGGTTCAAGTTATCTATTGGTGCATAAAACTAGACTATTTAATCAATAGAGCGTTAAAACGGATTCAACGTAAAAAAGTAACATCTTTATTTTTTTTTTGGAATTATGAACTTAGTGAAACAAATTATAAATTTAAATGCAGAAAATCGAAATTATCAATTCTTCAATTATTTACTACAAAAATCAAGTGATTTCTTATGCAAATTATGAAAGAAATAATCAATTAGAATGTAGAAAACTTAAGAATAAAATAGTTTTATTTTCATTAAGTGAAATACATTGTTTTGTTTTTGTTTTTTGTTTTTTTTTTTGGATATCGATCAACTTAAATATTTGCTCGTCACACTAGATACGGGCAAAATAGATAAGTGTGTATGAAAATAAGCATTTAATCGACGTTATCTGTTGAGCATCGACAAAATAGTAAATCAAATAGATGGAAAGTGCGCAAAAATAGACATTTTTTCGTAGAATATTTTTCTATTTTTATATTATAAAATGAATCTACAATTTTGTTTGCAGATTGATTACTTAAAGGTTATTAATACATTTTTTTGTGTGATAATCTAGAAATTAAATTATTGATTGATTATGTTCTTGATTTAGAATTGTTTCAGTTTATTTACGATAATCTAAATTTAAATAATTATTTTATATATAGAAACCTTAAAAGCTAAGAAATTTTAGTGCATTGAATCGTGTTATAAGATTGATCTGCAAACGCAATGAAAGCAATGTAAGTGAGGCTTAAATTGGATCAAAAAGAACGAACAAATGTTTGAGGACGAAAGAAAACTGATTAACATGGGTAATGAAGGGAAAAGCGAGGTTTCTTTTCGTGAGGGGTTGGGATAGATTAAAGCACACATTGTTGACACGGATTGACAGCGAGTAAACACGGGGGGTTGTACAAGAATTCGATTTTTGGGGGATGAAAGTTGGGTCGAAACGTTCGGAGACGAAGGCGAGGTTGGTTGGGTAGAAGAGGTACGGACGGGGAAGGCCGCAGCGGCGTCAGCTCGAGCGGCGTTGTGAAACCTAAATGTTATGGGTTCACGCCAAAGCAGATCACTTATTTATTATTGCCTCATCGGGACAGTAGAAAGAAAAAAAAAAAAAGAATATCGAATGGGGCCTTACGTAACGACGGCCCGTTTCTTCGCTTGTTCATTTGCCAATAGCAACAACAACAAACAAACAACAGAACCGGGCTTCCTGACGTATAGGCAAACAATTGTCAGCGATATTCGAATAACATTTCTGCTCCGATTTACGTAACTTGTGCATTATCATCACCATTATTCGAGGTGGATGTTGTTGATGATGATGATGATGATGACGACTTAAGGGAGGCGATATCGTTTGGTTGCATTATTTTGCTCAACCTCCGGCGTGTGCATCTTTCACTTAGAAAGCTATGTCATAAAACGGTCGGTCGGTCTGGTCTGTTGGTTCGGCTCGGCGCAGAGTAAAGGTTACTTTTAAAACGACTAATTACACATCCATTTGATTGAGCGGAAAGTGAAAGCAATTCGCGATAGCATCGAGGAGCAATAAAACTGTAACTATGGGATTATTAGTATTGAAGATGGAGAGAAGAGAAGAGGAGAGAAGAGAAGGACGTTAAAGAAGTGCTCGATGGCGCAACGTAACTTTTGCAAGACAGCGGCTGCGGCTGCGGCACATTTCCCATCCATCCAGAAGACACTTTTTCGAAGACGCGAGAAGAGTTTGTCCAAGAATATAGATTGGAAATTACGCTCGTTCGCAACGCAAAATTGGAATGAACAGAGACGCGGAACGCAAAACAAAATGCATACTTGGATGTAGTAAGGGGGAATTGAGTGACGATGATGTGATGATGATGGTCGGGAAATCTGTTTTTTTTTTGTATTTGAGCGCTTCCCTTCGACGAATTATTCACGAGAAATAGAGAGAGGGTGAAACATGGATTTTCATACCGAATCAAAATTCGCGATCCGCATCACCTCGTTAAGACTAAACACCTACGAGAGTCTCATACTCTTTTTATGCGGTTTTGAAGTTATGCGGTTTTTTTTAGGCCATTTTGACACGTTTTGACACAAATTGGCAAACCATTTCATCGAAAAACATGATAATTCTGAACGAGCATTCAAGTTTCAACGCGAGCTTCAGAATTGCATTTTTGGATATCAGGAATTGTACAAAAAAATAGCAAAGCCATTGCAAAGTTTAATTACTGATTATATTGTCAAAGGGAAAAAATCAACATTGAGACTAATTTTACTTGTGAAGAATCATTATCTTCAGGACATAAATCTGATATGTTGACTATCTCTTCTAGTGATGAAAGTGATTTAGAACCAGTTCGCAAATTATGCCGAACACTCTCTTATAGCGATGATAATTCTAATGAAAAAAATGTGAAGAAAGATTAAGTTTCATAAAAATTTTCAGTATTTTATTTTTTGTAAAAATTTTCCGTATAAATTTAGGAGGAATATGCTAAGATTGTATTTTTCTGAAATTTAATAAACTTGTCTATGATTGTTAACGTTTTTATAAAATTATGAATAAACATTTCAGAAAGAATATATAGTAAGACTAATTATTTTTCTGAAATTTAATAAACCCTTTTTTATGCGATTTTCGGTATATTGTAACTCATTGATTTAGTTTTATGCGGTTTTAAAAAAATTCTGGAACTAGTGCTTTTTTGTGCGATTTATTTTTATGCGTTTTCCTGTGGAACGTATCTACCGCATAAAAAGAGAACCAAGTGTATTTACAAACATAAATTCGTGTAATCTATAAGAATTTAGTTTAAAAAAAAATGAAATTTTACTAAAACTAGAAATAATTATTGAAAAATATGATGTAGACTTTTCGTGTGTGTAAGTAAATCTATTTAGCTTTTGTCTCATATCAATTATTAAGCACTCTAGATAATTATTTCGTCGTTTTTCAAGATATATAATTCAAGATATATACTCTAGTTATTCAGATGTAGTGCAATTAATGAGGATTATTTCTCGGTTCGAAGACCGCCATCATTAGTTAATGTAATCTTACGTTAATTAAACCGCACTAATTGACTTCTTTTAATTGCTTGCGTTAAATAATATGAGATTCTATTGGTATTATATTTTCTTTTGTAATTCAAACAACAAAAACAACAACAAAAAAAAAACTATTTTCTCTCTGTTAATGCATTTATTTACATAATGAAGTTAGGTAGTTGTAATAATTAAGAACCCAAATGTTGCGCAAAACCGACCTTTCCGTTTCGTTCGAAAATGTTAAATAATCTCGATTTTTAATAAATAATGAAATTACAAACAAAAAAAAAACAACTACAACTAAAATGTAAAAAATATTGCGCAACGCCCGATTTTGTGTGTCTCTCTGTGTGTGTGTGAATCAAATTGGAAACGCGGCGCAGCCTCCCGGCAAAAAGAAAGTTAACCGGACAATGGATCTTTGGTCTCTTTGGCAACGTGCATTTTCCGTGATCTCCGCGATTTCCTTCTCTTTCTCTCTCGCTCTCTCGTTTCATTTCGCGTTCAATCGCTCCTTCAATTGTTTCCTTTTCTTTTTTTTCTTCCGCCACGTTGATTCCTATTAATAACCATGGTAACCTAACGTTATGGTAATATGTCCGACGTGCGAACGAGTGAGAGAGAGAGAGAAAGAATTCGCGTTAAACGATGTTCGTAGGTATTTAAAACTTGAATAAAAAAAATAAATAACGCGATTGTAATTTCGATCGAGGTAACAGTAATAAATTGCATAATCGAAATGAAAGCCTCATTATATTATAGATACGGATAGATTGACGTATTTTTTTTTTGCTAGAGTTGAGAGGTTGACCTGACCCGTATACATTCCTCGAATTGATTCCATTAAAATGTTAAGGTCCTTTGTGTTCGACTTACGTTTTTTTTCTCTTGTCTTTTTCTAATTGTCCATCAGCAACATCTTTTCTTTGATTTCTTTCCTCCGTGGATGCTCGATGCACTTAACGTGGCGAATTTCCAACTATACTAAACCCGTCCATTGTTTTATTTTTATTTTGGTTGTCTGATAACGACGGTCGTTCATATATATATATAAGTGAATCAGATTAGGTGCAACTGCCTTATCAACAGGCAAGGTCACATTAACAACTTTATACGAAAGATGGAAAGTGTGTATGTATTTTGGATCGTTGCCATGACAATATTAATAATTATTATATAATTGAACTGTCAAATTATTAGGTAATGAAAACGTTGCCATGACAATCTCTATAAATATACTTGGATTCTCTTAGTAACTATGACAACGGTAATGCTATAGA